GCCATTTACAGCTTCTGCCAAGCCAACAACAGTATTTCTTGATCTACCCCAGAAGAATGCCTAGACCTTTATTCATCTGAAACTGCCTCACCCACTATACAAGTACACATCACTTCAAGAGGTCAATCAAATCTGTGAGGCCATATAATAAGACATCTCATCAGCAATCATCAAATTCTTCTACTCAGCTATGGCAGAGCTGACACCTGGTACTTCTCCTCACAGGCCTTTGACATCATCACAATGCATAACGCAAGCAAAACACACAGTCCATATAAACTGCATTTCTGGTCCTAGGTGCTTTGACCACAGGTGCTTTGACCATAGGGGGGGTTGACCATAGGGGGTTTGACCACAGCGGAGCTTTGACCATAGGGGGGTTGACCATAAGGGGTTTGACCACAGCGGGGCTTTGACTACAGATGGGCTTTGAACATAGGGGGGTTTGACCATAGGTGGTTTGACCACAGGTGTTTTCTCAGCAGAGGGTCTTTGATCAACGGGTGTATTATCACAAGCGCTGTGTGCGGCTTTAATCACAGGTGTTTTATCCTTATAGGGTCTTTGACCACAGATGGTTTGTCCACTGCTGGCGTTTGATAAAAAGCGCTTTTCTCACTTCATGAAAACGACAAAATCAACGGGATCCTACACAATGCTACACTCATGCACGCACTACGCCTATTCAGTAACAAAGAGCTATCCATAAACACAATCCCACACACTATTAATCGCAGCTTTTCTGTCTACACTGATAAACCCTCGAATATCCCAAAATACCCCAGCTGCACGATAAACAGTACTGCAACAGCAAATACCATTAAGAAACCACAGTCAGAAACAGCAATGGACATCATCACATCAACAAAAAGGAAAAATGAACATAGCCCTATAACAGAACAAGGGCAAATAACAAAGACACAAAAAATCTCTAATACAACGCCCCAGTCAGCCCCCAAAACAGCAACACCACAAAAAGAGAAAGAAGATGTCCAAATCATTATCCAAAATCAAGAAACCACAACAAAATCCAACGAAAACACACAAATATCGCCGGAGAAATTACTTCAGACAAGAAGCTCATCCAACAAAACTAGCCCAAAACCCCAAGAAGGAAAACTAGTAGCCTACATGACAACACGAAATGCGAATACTGCGCCAAACAGTACAAAGTAACCACGGAAGCGGAACTTCAAGAAAATATAGCACACAAAGATTTCAAACAGTGCAGCATTTGTCATGACAGATTAATTCACGACGACATAGAAAGGAACCACGCACTAGCATCGCAAAGAAAAAGAATATACATGCGGCTTGTGCAACATAAAACAACCCCCCCCCCCCCACCCCCCACAAAAAAAGCCATTACGATACACTTCAAGCACCTCCATCCGCACGACATGCTATGATAACATATACTACAGAATCACAGAAGGAAACTACAAAGACCATTTAACATGCATCTACAGCAGAACTCTAGAAAATGAACGCTAATAAGATCAACTGTTATATATTAGATATATAAATATATATTAGACGACGCCTAATTTTAGGTAGATGCTCGGTCACGACACCATCGAACTAAGCCCAAACTATTTCTGAACGACCTAATCACAATCACCAACGAAATTCAACCACAACCCACCGGAAATTACTCAAAAGTGAAAAGTGGACCAAGTCAAGAAAAGTCAAGAAAAAGAAAATGATTTCTCTTTTAATGTAAAAATTTCATGTGATACTATATATTTCAAGTATTTTGGCATGCAGCCTATCCACACAGAACGCTCCTGGCTCGAACTGTGTGGAAGGACATAAATTAAACTTTAAAAAAAAAAAACAGAATTGAAATTTATATATTAGGTAATTGCTATGTCAGTTGGCCGTTGGTCTATCTAAACCGTTTTTTCATGGCTGAGCGATTTTTTGCATGAGTGTCGACTATGTCTCAGAAATGACAGATATTTGTCTTTTATAGATGGAATTCGTAGACTTTGTGGCGTCAACATTTTTTACAACAAATAACTAAAAATGAAAATAATACAAATATTAAAACCTTTATAATGACAAAAAACACAAAATAAGAAAAATAAAACAAAATTGCTTTAGCCAATCAAAGCTTTGGTCGCTATTGAGATCTGTTACAGGTTTTAGATGCCATAAAAGAAAATAAAGGTTTGCTGTATATATATATTTTTAAATCCCGTGGTTCTGGTCGCGAGATTGGGCTTGTGCCTAAGTTTGTACCTCTGCCACGTCTTGAAGTGCCCAGAATTTTTGGGAAATCTATCCGTTATTATAATTTATGAAATTAATGCATAGCCCCTTATGACACTGTCATTTTTGTACACATGTATTTTAACTGAAAAGTATTTCTAAGTAAAAACACGAATTTAATATTATTTTGCGATAATTGTTTTCCGGCACCTCTTTTCTTTAATTTACGCACAAAGTTTTGTTTATTTGTTGGAGTGCATTTTAAACATTCAGACTGGAGTTTAAAAAAAAAGGTTTACCTCATTTTAATGAAAATATTTGAAAATTTAAAACATTAATTTAATTATTTTTTACATAGCTTATGAATAGTTCATTCATCGAATATAACGTCTCACTCTAATACTTAGTACGTAGCATTCCAGAACAGCATGTTATAAATAAGTGGTTACTGACATTTTACTCAATTGTGACACGTTGTAAATTTTTGTACACATGTCATAATTTCCATAATACTTGACCGATGGAGATGACATTTGGTATACCATATCAGGAAACCGTGTTGGAAGGGGCTACTGAGATATCAAATACTCGATTAATGCATAAACAGCTTGTTGTGAAATTAGCGAACTCATTATTTAAATACACAGTTCAAATACTTTTTTTCAGTTTATCAACAGTATATGCTTTAGTCCCATTTTTACTACATTATCTTATAAACAAACACAAGACTTACCCTCTCAGATTAGTTGTGAGGACATCACCATTGCCGTATTGTCGTCCAAGGTAGTCAAAGTTTACATTATTTATTTTTATGCGGATTTCAACAATGTTCACTACATCGGTGACTACTTGAATAGTCGGCCTTATCCTATCAGAAAAATATATCATTGTGTGATCTAGACATTCAGTGTTGTATGTGTGTGTGTGGGGTGGGGGGGGGGTGGGGGTGGGGGGGGGATGGAAAGGCTACAAAAAATAAAAATAATGTTAAATAAATAATAATACAAAATAGTTTCAGCAATATGAGATGGTTACACGGTGATGTGAGGTAGGTATGCAAGGATTGTGAAGTAATTACAGAAAAGTGTAAGGGATGTGTGAGCGTAACAATGATAAGATGACTGTGAAATACCTAAACAATAAAGAATGGTGTTATGTAGCTACACGTTGAAGTAATGTTGGGGAGGTAGGTACAAAATAATGCGTGGTATGTGAGACAGTGACACAATGATGTAAAGTAGCGACACAATGCAGTGAGGTAGAACACCATGAAGTGAGGTAGCGAAACAATGATTTGAGGTAGCAACACAATGATGTAAAGCAGCGACAAAATGATGTGAGGTAACGACATAATAAAGTGTGGTAGCGACACATTGATGTGAGGTAGGGACACAACGATATAATGTAACGAAACAATGATGTCGTGCAGTGAAACAATGATGTGAGGTAGCGACACAATGATGTTAGGTAGCGACACAATGAAGTAAAGTAGCGACATAATGATGTGAGGTAGCAACACAATGATGTAAAGTAGCGACACAATGATGTTAGCTAGCGACACAATGATGTGAGGCAATGACATAATAAATTGAGGTAGCGACACAATGATTTTAGGTAGCGACACAATGATGTAAAGTAGCGACACAATGATTTTAGGTAGCGACACAATGATGTGAGGTAGCGACACAATGATTTTAGGTTATCGACACAATGTGTGTGAGTAGCGACACAATGATGTTAGGTAGCGACATAATAAAGTGAGGTAGTGACACAGTGATTTTAGGTAGCGACACAATGATGTGAGGTAGCGACACAATGATGTAAAGTAGAGACACAATGATGTTAGGTAGCGACACAATGATGTAAAGTAGCGACACAATGATGTTAGGTAGCGACACAATGATGTGAGCTAGCGACAAAGTGATGTGAGCTACTGACATAATAAATTGAGGTAGCGACATAATGATGTGAGGTAGCGACACAATGATTTTAGGTAGCGACACAATGATGTGAGGTAGCGACACAATGATTTTAGGTAGCGACACAATGATGTGAGGTAGCGACACAATGATGTAAAGTAGTGACACAATGATGTAAATAAGCGACACAATGATGTAAGGTAGCGACACAATGATATAAAGTAGCGACACAATGATGTTAGGTAGCGACACAATGATGAGAGCTAACGACAAAATGATGTGAGGTAATAACATAATAAATTGAGGTAGCGACACAATGATGTGTGGTAGCGACACAATTATCTTAGGTAGCGACACAATGATGTGAGGTAGCGACAAAATGATTTTAGGTAGCGACACAATGATGTGACGTAGCGACACAATGATTTTAGGTAGCGACACAATGATGTGAGGTAGCGACACAATGATGTAAAGTAGTGACACAATGATGTAAAGTAGAGACACAATGATGTAAGTTAGCGACACAATGATTTAAGTAGCGACACAATGATGTTAGGTAGCGACACATTGATTTGAGCTAGCGACAAAATGATGTGAGGTAATGACATAATAAATTGAGGTAGCGACACAATGATGTGAGGTAGCGACACAATGATTTTAGGTAGCGACACAACGATATTATGTAACGAAACAATGATGTCATGCAGTGAAACAATGATGATAGGTTGCACCACAATGATGTGAGGTAGCGAGACAATGATGTAAAGTAGCGACACAATCATGTGAGGTAGCAACACAATGATGTAAAGTAGCGACACAATGATATGAGGTATCGAACCAATGATGTGAGTTAGCGATAAAATGATGTTAAGCAGTTGTAAATAAACTACTGTTTTTGTACTTTAGCGCCCATGCAACATATTTTTTTCCCCAGCCTTCGACTGGCACCAGCGTGAAAGAATCGGCTGACGTTTTCATAGCGACCTCGAAAACGATGACGCCAAATTTCCTTGCACCAACAATTTTGTAGGTGTACTGTGTCCCTATTTGTTGAGTTGATCTAGTCAAACAATAATATACATATGTATAAAATTATTGCCTCTTCATTTATTACATAAGTGTAGTGGGTATGTCAATTGAATAGTTACATTTATGTAGTGGCCATGTCAATTGAAAACTTACATATGTGTCGAAGGGTGACAGGACAAATGATCTCAGGACAAATGATCTCAGACAAAATATCTCAGACAAAATATCATACAGCAAATATTTAAAAGTATATTTGATGGTTTGAGTTGATCTGAACATTTTTTTTATTGACTGTCATATGTTTTTGTTTACTGTGTTTAATATTGTTTATAGTACTATGTAGTAATTAGCTGCATACCCGTGTTCCGCCACGGTAAATCTTTTTTAAATGTACCAACTTGGGAACAGAACAAAACAAACAAAAACACAACACAAACACAAACACAAACAAAGCACAACTACAAAAACAACCACAACACAACCACAACACAACCACAACCACAATCATAACACAACCACAACCACAACACAACCACAACACAACCACAACACAACACAACCACAACAAAACCACAACACAACCACATTACAACCACAACACAACCACAACACAACCATAACATTAGAATCACCACCGAACAACACGCTTTCCTAGGCGTACGCGCCCAAAGAGAGCCTTTCCAGCATAAAAAACAAACAAAACACAACCACAACACAACCACAACACAACCACAACACAACACAACACAACCACAACACAACCACAACACAACCACAACACAACCACAACACAACCACAACACAACCACAACACAACCACAACAAGAGCCTTTCCAGCCTTCACTATACTATAATTCTAAAATGTCACCATCTGTTAACAAAAAAATAAGGATTTTGAGAGATCATAGACTAAATTAGAAAATAATATAAATAATCTTAACATTTTTCTATTTTACTTATGAACCTTAACATATAATAACCAATGCGGTAGTAATAAAAAAAATTAACTTAAATTATTGAGAGTGAGTTGAATATTAAAAACACGTTTTCCCAGGCTTCCGCGCCCAGAGAGAGCCTTTCCAGCATTCTCTAAAAGTCTTATTTCACCATCTGTTTTAATAGCACCGAAAAACAAAAACAAAAAATAGTTATGTTTGTGTTGATGATGCAATAAAATAATAGTTTTACTTTACGAACCTGAAGACCCATTCACATTTTTTGAAAAATATTTCACGTATTGCTACCATTACTTTATTTGTTTTATTCATCATCATTCAATATACCTTTTAGGCTAAAGAACAGAGTTTGTTTTAAAATATTTATTTCTCAAATCAAATGCTATTACAAAGATCAAGTTTAATAAATCTTTTGTTTCTTTGTTAAGTTTAACAAATTCATTTTATTCACAATTATTATGCGTAAAAAGTAAACAAAACCATTGACAGTTAATAGAAAAAATGTGCATATCAACTAAAATCTTTAAATACACTTTTAAAATTTTGCTGTGAGATATTTTGTCTGAGGTATTTTGTATGAGATCATTTGTCCGTGATATCATTTGTCCTCATATATTTAGTCCTGGTATCTTTTGTTCGTGAGATCATTTGTCCTTGAAATAAATTGTCCTGAGATGATTTGTCCTGAGATTATTTATCCATGAGATATTTTGTCTGAGATATTTTGTCTGAGATCATTTGTCCTGATATCATTTGTCATGGAACCGTTTCGAAGGCATTTTCTTTTAAATACGTATATATGCGTAGAGGGCATGTCAATTGAATACTTACATATGTGTAGTGGGCATGTCAATTAAATAATTACATATGTGTAGTGGGCATGTCAATTAAATACTTACATATGTGTAGTAGGTATCTGTATCGAATGAACTTGAAGCCTTCGTAAAACTTGATGTATATTCAACTGTTCCCCATCAAACCAAGGACTGGTCAGATCAATCTAAATAAAGGTTAGTTGGGTTATCTTCCGCATTTTGTTCCATTATTTTCTGTGTACTTAAACGTAAGGTGAATAATTAATTTTCTAAAAGAATGTTGAAATCTGCAATCTTTATAATAATCTTTAATAATAATCTTTATAATAATCTTTAACAATCATTAAAGAACAAAACTTAAGGCAGTCGGCGTTAGCACCTACGTGCAACAAGATGTAACTTTCAATAGACATTGCCACATTGGATGCTATTTTTGTTAGATGAACCACAGGAGCCACATGTGTGTTTATGAGTGGATATGTATATGATTGTGTGAGCGTGTGTGAGTTTGTGTGTGAGTGTGTATGTGTATGTGTATGAGTGTAGGTGTTTGAGTGTATGTGTGAGTACGTTTGTGTGATTGTGTATTTAAATTTATATTTATGAGAGTGTGTGTGAGAGAGAGTTTGTGCTTATGAATGTATGAGAGAGTGTTCGAGAATGTATGAGAGTGCGTGTTTGAGAGTTTGTGCGAGAGTGAAGGTGAGAGTATGTGTGTATGAGTGTTGTATGAGTGCGAGTGTATGTGAGTGTATGTGTGAGTGCGTATAGGTTTCTGTGTATGAGCGTCTTTGTATACATGTGTGTGAGTTTATATATGAATGTGTTTGAGTTTGAGGTATAAGTCTGTGTGAGTTTTGTGTGTGAGAGTGCGTGTTTGAGTGTATGCGTAAGTGTGTATAAGTGTATGTGTATGCTTGAATGTATTTATAATCAATAAAGACCTCATTTCATTATCACAACCGTATTAAAGCACCCAAAATCTGCTCATGATCTTCAAATTCGGACTTCCGCGTACTGGCCGGTCAATGTCCGAGGTCAGGAACCTTTTCATATATATATATATATATATATATATATATATATATATATATATATATATATATATATATATATATATATATATATATATATATATATATATATATATATATATATATATATATATAATTGAGCTTTCGATTTGCACCCCCTCCCCCTCAAACTTTCGATTTGCACCCCCCCCCCCCCTCACGGGATAGCCTATAGCGCAAAATCGACCCCTGCCCGGGCGCCAACGGACGCGCCTGATTCAATTAAAGTAAACAACTATAAAAACCCTAGCTTGTCCGCAAACCGAAAGATACATGTAAATATAGGGACATTTAGAAGTGGCTTCTAAACAGTAGTGTTATTGACTAAAAATAATTATTAGTAAACAGTACGTTCTGTGTATCAAATAAAGGCAGTATTTAAAATATCCGTGTTTTACCTACTATATTGCACTTTATCAACCCATGCTAATTATATTACTCCAACAATAATTTTTTCTTGGTCGTCCGCAGATTTTGCATTAACATATTTTTTTATTAGCATGAGTTAAATTTATTTATAAATTACTTCCCCTGGCATAACTATTAAAAGATTTTAATTAATTATTTAATTGCTTTTATTAAAATGTATACACTTTTTCTAGTAATCTAAGCGAAAATATTATTTGACACTGATCCGTTTAATTTTTTTAGCAAGTGCGTGTATTTAAAATTTTCTTCACGTTCTTTTCTTTCACGTTATGCGAAAAAGTTAAACCTGTAGCAACTATAAAATAAATTTAAGTTGTTAAACGAACCGTACTCTATCAATTTAATAAGACTAAGCGATGCTATGTTAAAAAAAAATGGTGCGATGTTGACTTTTATAGCTCCAAAATGAAAAATAAAATAAATCACAATCTCGAAAAATACCAATACTGCAATACAACCATTTTTGCCAGAGCTGCATTAGTAAACAGATACATCATTCCAAAAATAATTTTCGTAGCGACGAACTCTACAATACCCAACTCATTTAGTAAAAAAACAAACAAGCTCATTAGAGAGTTCATTTTCAAAAATACGATTAGAAACATCAGCCACAAAACCTTAATACAAAATAAATTAAATGGAGGTATAGGGCTACACGACATTCAAACTAAAATAAACACCTTCCGATTAAAACACCTGGATAGAATAAGGATAGAACCACATTATCATCCATTAGCACAATACTACATTGGGTTAAACATAAAGAGCATTTTAAAATTAAACATCATAACACCACACTATGGGGGAAATGACATAGGCAGCTTTTATAAAGAAACGCTAGCAACATTCCAAGGAAACAAAAGCATTATTGGGGAAGACACAAAAAAAATATACGACATCCTAATCAAACAACAAGCGACACCCTTATACACGAGAATTAGTTGGGCCAGGGAACACAATATAATAGACATTAAAGATACATTTAGAAACCTACATAATGAACGCATTACACCAAAAGAAAGGGAAATAGCATACAGACTGATTTTTAACACAACTCCAGTTTCACGAAATACAAAGTCAAATCAAAATGTTAAAATAACATGTCAAACGTGTAAACAAAATATACAAGAAACTGAGAAACACATTTATTTAGATTGTATATTAGTACAGAAAACAAAGCAAACACTTGCGAAAATATTAAACACCACCAATCAAACAGCCACAACAAATAAAGCAATCACACTTAATTTAATTAACACGACTAGACAAAGAACAGAAGACGAAAACAGACTAGTAGCAATGGCTATTTATAGATCGACTATATGGCAAATAGGAATAAAGTAAGATATTTTTTCACAAAATACACGGACATCGAGTTAAAAGAAATATTTCAAGCAAAGCTAAGACATAGACTGGGAACTCTCACTTAACTGAGAAAAAAAAAGAAATATACAGGAAAGAAATAAATAAAGTATTAATTTTAATTTAGACAGTCTCAAGCCAAACATCACTCGATCAGCCCCCAAGTAAATTAACATTAGAACAGTCTTCTGTTTCCCGGGTTTTAAAATGCACAACCTGAATGGTAGAAAGAGATACCCACCTCAACCCCCCTTCCCCAGCACACACACACACACTTCCCCCCCCCCCCCCCCACTCAACCGGACTGGCGGACATTTCAAGGTAGCGTGCCCTCATTGCCAAGGGTCAATTTTATGTCATGGAAAGTTTTGGAATGATAGATCAGTACGTGATTACAGAGACCCTTCGCCCACAGTCGTTTCTATTTCTGTCCATGGGTGGCTACAGTGTAAACTTTTAACTCCGCAGCACACTAAACTAAGCAGTGAAGAGAAACCTAGTTTGCACACCTTATTTTAATCTAGTTCTTATGCCATTTTATTTTTTCCCTTTGATTATTATATATGCAATTGATGTTCATTGTTCATGTCTTTGATGCTATGTAAAATCTATCAAATATATTATTATTACTGATTTAAATGTTTAAAACAATTGAATTAATTTAAAAAAAAAATCTACCCCCTCCTCTCTCCCCCTCTATCCACTTTACCCCCAGACATGATAACCCCACAATCCCTTTAACTGTTCCAACGACCCCACCACCCACCGCAACATCAATATCCAGAACTTATTTAAAGTTCTAAATCTTGTCTCTTTCCCCTCATCTTTCACACTGCAACCTTTTGAAAACTTAATGCGACCACTACAACACCCTTTCAACTAGTCAACTTAAGTTGTTTCCCTACCTAGAAAATGCTTCACTGTCCCATTGACCCTCTCTGAAAAATTTCCTTTCCTCTCCCCACCCAGACTTCTGACACTTTCATTTGACCTTCACCCCTTTTACTGTCATCCTTTGCAATTTTTTTTATAATCAAATACATGACATCATGTAAATATTCATTATGTACATTTGCAAAACCTTTCGTTTTCATTTGGTGTTCAAAATGATGTTAAAAGATTTGATGTTGATGTACTTGTTTTAATTGCAAATAAAAGTATTTAAAAAAAAAAAAAAAAAAAAAAAAAAAAAAAAAAAAAAAAAAACTTGTGCAATTGTATTTAGACATTTACGCTGCCAGTCATGAAAAGTTTCTGTGTTCTTAACATTTTCTGTTTAAATTTGTATCATTGTTAAAGAACACAATGCTTCTAATATGAACATTAAAAAAATATATATATAGCTCCAAAATCTATACCGATGACTGGCTGACACACTACCAACAGCCATATATTATAGATATCTTTATTAAACTTGTGTTTATAATATTTGTTTGAGGCAGCAATGACCTGCTTTTATAAATTACCATTTAATAATATCACTTACTTCAACATCTTTTGTGGACAGTGTAAATAAATATACTAAAACTTCCTGGCTCTCTACTTTAGTTTCTACGTCATTCGGTACAACGAAGTAAAACTTGGTTCCTAAAGACGAGCTGATAGCTGTCAAATTAGAGAAGTCAAGGTAGAAGTCATATATTTTCAAACAGCGTAGTATATACACATTTTCTGTTAGCGAATACACTAAACTGTGATATATATATATATATATATATATATATATAGAGAGAGAGAGAGAGAGAGAGAGAGAGAGAGAGAGAGAGAGAGAGAGAGAGAGAGAGAGAGAGAGAGAGAGAAAGAGAGAAAGAGAGAGAGAGAGAAAGAGAGAGAGAGAGAGAGGGGGGGGGATATATATTCATGGTTTTACTTACGCTAATACGAAGTATAGAAGTAGGATTGTAAGTGCAAAAAATTGAAATCAATTTTCACAAATCTTGATGTTTAACCCTTTACCCCTCCACTCCGCCTCCCTCCCCCCCCCCTTCCACCCCACCCCTGAGTCGGAAAAACATAGTTTCTGTGTAGTTCTGTATCAACTTTTGAACGATTTTTGGTAATCGGTTTTTAATAGCCAATAACTTGATAACTGTTTCAGCGAGGTAGTAGAAATTTCATGCATAAGATCTTGTTCTCTGGGTTCTATCAAATTTTGAGTTATTTCCTGTGACCGGAAGTAGTACTTTATGCTAATTTGATTTCTTCAAAAACCATTAATGATTTAATAATAATCTAGTATCCGTTAAGGTCGAAAACTTATGAGCAGAATTTTGAACACTTTTACGAAACCGATAAATTTCAAAATTTCATTAATTTCAAGACTTGAAGACAAAGTATAGTGACATAAAAGGCTACTTCATTAGATGCTTATTTACCTTTTTTTTTAAATTAATCAAGATTTTCTTTATATAATACACATTTTCAGCACAATTATACACATATTATTTGATCTTCATTTGGTGCGTGATTATTTTTTCCACGCGATTCTTTCCTATTTAAAAATATAATTTTAAAAAATTGAGTTTTTCCGGCACAGTGAGGTGTGAAAGGTCGAGATTTGTTAAAAACTTGATTTTGATTTTTGCAAGATTACAAAAATTTGTCTTACTTTGTATACAAGAAAGTAACTAGAGCGTAAGCCAACTTCACTTACGTGGTATGACCCTAGGTCAAGAAAAGGATTAATTTTCCGGGTCTTTTTTCTAAATTTAGCTCTGTTTTAGACATTTAAAATGTACTAGGGCAAAAAAACAACTGATGTACAACGTTAAGTATATAAATGAATTCATTCCGTTAAGAAAAAAACATAAATCGCTATTAAATTCACTACATTAACTATTCACGACAAAGAATATACCATAAAGTACATATTACAAAGTACACTTTTTCAGTACACACCACTAGAGACACAAATAAGTGTGTCTATTTTTATGTCTATAATAGTAAACAATTCAAAATTAACACTTATCAAAATGCTAGTAAACATGCTGTAATAAGAATGCTGGAGATTATAACAAAAGCAGTTGTAATAATAACAGTTGTAATATTGGAAGTTGTAAAAGTAACAATCTTAACAGTGGTGGTTGTAACAATGGCAGCTGTAATAATGGTAGTTGTAGCAATAGAATTCGCTACAGTAAGAGATGTAACAGTAGCAACAGTTACAGTGGTAGTTCTAATAATATCATTTATAAAACTGGTAGACAGTTGTAACAGAGGTAATGTAACTATGGTAGCTGTTAGAGTAGCCGTTTTAACAGTGGTAGTAGTAAAAATTATAGCTGTTAAATGGCAGCAGTGGAAGCTGTAACAATAGCGGTTATAGCATTATTGTAATAGATTGAGATAATTGTGAGGTCAAGGGAACTCACTCTTCTGTATTAGTATTATATTTATATTGTTATCTTGAGTGATGTCCCTTGTGTATTGTACTTCCTTCCTCTTTCCATCATGGCTGTAAATAAAGACTGTTAACAACCAATGTGGCTCCTCGTCAGTGTTTACCAATCTATCTCAATTATCAGGTTTAACAAAGGTTTTGTGACAATAGCATTGGTAAGAATGATCGTTTTAACAGTAGAAGCTGTTACTGTAGCAGTTGTTGCCATGATACTTGCAACAGACGATTAGCGTTTTAAAAGTATTTGTACAAAACAGGACTAGTTAGTAGTTTGGGTTTTTTTTTTTTGGTTTTTTTTTTTAAATGTTTTTTTTAACGCTCAAAACTAAATTTTAAAAAAATTAACCGTCCAAGTTTTCTTACCTTTAGATTTCTGTATACAACAGTTCAAAGATACAAAGACTTTCAACAGAAACAGCAGAAAGCTTGCTATTGAAAAGAGAAATACGTGGGAATATTACATGACAATATAAAATAGCATTTGTCTAACATATGCCCACTCCTTGTCGACGATGGACTGTTCCCTATAGATATTAAATTTATGATCATAGTTTGGAGTTATGGTTTAGTTCAGTTAATAAATGTAAGAGTTTAGGACGCGACACTAATAACCCCTTAATGCCTGAATTATGTTCCAAGCGTATAAAAATTATTTGTGCTTATTTTATCTCAACATACTGACACTGAATGTGAGGTATGTAGTCGTTTTTAAATTTGGACTTATTTTTTATGCTAATTACGGTATGTAGCAAAAACGCGACATCCGGCACTTTCGGACGGACCAAACAGTAAATGTTTTTGAGTCCGGGTCATTTTACTATTTTTACTGACGTGTGTTTCTCTAAATATCCACGCATAAACAATAGAATATCACAAACATACGGACATGCCAGGAGATGTAGACTCACTTGCAAAATTCATGAAAACTATAGTTTATTAGCTCAGGCATAGAGTTACATAACTCTGCTGCACCTGCGCACTGACTAACTCTTATGAATGGGTATTTTGAAGCCTAGCTGTCGTGGTTCTACTACACTACAGAAACACACTACATATGAAAGGACTTCTTTAAATGTGTTGAGCCTTAGTTGTCCCCGGTTACGTCATTTTCGTAAACTCCTATTCAAGGTCAACTATTAAAGACGCATATTTCTCATTTGACCTATATTTGCTATACACACAAAACACGTGAACAAATACTGTCCTAAATGACAGTGTTCAGCCGTTGTATATTCTTCCATGCTCAATGCAGCTGCTGTGGGTACTTAGTGTCACTGCTGTGGGTACTCAGCTGCACCGGTGTGGGTACTCACTGCTATTGTTGATGGTACCCTATGTTTCCGATTTCGGTTCTTCGTGCTACGGATGTTGTGCTCGAATGCTTCTGCTATGGATTACCAATGACAGTGCTGTAGCTACGTATTGCCACTGGTATGGGTACTTAGTGCTAAAACAGTGGGTACTGTGTGTTGAAGCCATGTGTACTGAGAGCTGAAGCTGTGGGTACTCACTGTTGAAGCTGTGGGTACTCACTGTTGAAGCTGTGGGTACTCAGTGTTACTGCAGTTGGTTCTTGATGTCACTGCTGTGGGTACTCAGCCTTGGAGCTGTTGGTTATCGATAACGTTGCAGTGGTTACTCAGCCTTAGCAGAGGGTACTCAGTATCACTGCTGTGAGTGCTTAGTGCACAAACTGTGGTTTCTCAGTGTCACTGATGTTGGTACTCAGTGCTGAAGATATGGGTACTCAATAACACAACTGTCGGTACTAAATGCCAGTATAATGCCACTAATGGGGGAATTCAATAGCACTGCAAAGTGTATTTTTGTTAGTATTCAACCTTACTATATTTATTACGAGGTGTAGGTCTATGATCAGTGTTATTATTGTCAAGGTCAATGTGAAGACCTTTCTTTTGTTGTATGCAGGATAGTAGTCCACCACCTCACTTCCTGATGTCCATTTATTTTTTTTATGTTCTCCTAATATTTTACAATACTATTTCAAAGCTAATTTAGTTATATTGTACCCAGCAACATGATCACATTATTCCAGCATCTCTCTCTCTCTCTCTCTCTCTCTCTCTCTCTCTCTCCATATGCCAATGTCAATGAAACAGATGAACTCTACTACACCTACCACATGGACCTAACGTTCTAAAGTGCACATTTATATATAGGCGAGGACTACATTGTAAAACCTTTGCTTATTTATAATCATACTCGAATGAATGACAGCTTGGCGATGCATCGTATTGTGTTATACCTGCTTGGCACCCAAGAACCATTTATGTCTTATTGCCGGATGTCGCGAAAACGCGACAAACCGTAATCAGCAGATACCTTCCAAAATTATTCTCTTATGTGATTTATACTCTTTATATACATAAAGAGTGAATAATAAAGCTATTAGTATTTTTTGTAGCAAAAACGGATCACCTATTTAGTAATAATAATGAATGTAAGTAGGCTGAAGTTATGAAGTCAAAAAAAATTACTTCACAACGTGACCGTTGGTACCGACACAACGACCGGATGCAGTAGGATAAATGTACCTATGCGGTATGTCGCGAAAACGCGACAGTCGGCGTTAAGGGGATAAACCGTTCTAAAACTATCTGTTAAAGTTGTATTGGCAGTAATGGATACCTTCTGCTTACGTTAGTATCATTTTGTTGCAACATTTTATTGAATATATTTTTATCCTATCATAAAGTAATTAGCCAAAGTTTAATAATTAATAAAACGCTAATTTAGCCTCGTAAATAAATTTCGAGCGCCAATTTACAACTTACTCATTTTTTAAAAGACGCTCTCCTTTCTCAGTTAGAAATAGAATCTAGATCTACCAATTTATGAAAGTTCCACACACATCTCAAAAACTGCAACGCACTATACACCATGTTTGTGCACGGTGCTATTTGGGTCGTTCAAAGTCATGTGGAAGTAAAAACCCGATCTAAGGCAGATTTGCAAAGTTTTGTATCTACCAATATTAACCAGTGCAAGAGTGAATTGTAAAAACAATTCTTAGAATTCTGAATAACAAGCGTTCATATAATAGGTAGGATAAATCTATCTAATCATACTAATTTTTTTTTTTTTTTAAATGTGGCAAGCGATAAAATTATAGCTACATTTTAAAAATTAGAGCCGTTTGGGAATCATCATCTTCTTCTTCTTCTTCGTTCTTAATTGTGAATACGGTGGAGGATTCAGACAACAATCATCGATTACACTCATTTTTACTTTCTCGTATACACGAAGTATAGAGAAAGTCTTGCAATCGTGCAAAAAAAATTGAGATTTTTACAAATCTCGACGTTTTACACCTCACTGATACGGAAAAATATAACTTTGCAATCTGTGTGTGTGTGTAAACACGATAACTTGAGTACCGTTACAGCTAGGTTGATGAAATTTCATATATAAGTAATTTATCTAAATCGTAGATTTTTAGCAACTTTTGAGCGATTTCCGATAACCGAAAGTGGTACTTTTTTTACTATGAATTTTTTAAAAGCCTATAACTTGAGTACTATTTCAGATAGATAAATCAAAATTCACATGTAAGTAAATGATCTAATTCTCTACCATCTTTCAAATTTTGAGTAATTTCCGTTGACCGGAAGTAGTAATTTACGCTATTTCCAATTTCTCAAAAAACGCATGTAAATTTATAGTACTAATAGTATTGCGCACTATTATGCACATCTTTATTTGGCGTTCACTTGGTGTGCAATTATTTTTCCACGAGATTTTATTCTATTTTAAAAAGTTTAAATATTTAAAATGGATTAAAAATCATGTCTGTATTCCGAGTTCCCATCCCCTGTTGTTTTATATAAGAATATTTGAGAAAGTTTAGGGGAAATCACTCCCGGTTTATTATATATTTGTATTGAACATAAGCCGTTGAAAATAATTTTGACGTCATATTACTGTGTGCACTCTCCGGCTTGATATTATTTTCTACTATATGACGTCATACTTCGTTTCCGTCTGACTGTGCATGTTTTTAAATTGCTTGTGTTTTCTCTAGAGCGTTCTTGTCAGATACATAGATACATAGATACACAGATCGATAGATAGATACACAGACAGCGAAACTATTATTACACAGTAATATGACGTCATTGATTCTCGAGTAAATATTGAATAAAAAGGCAATTTTGTCTAATCTAAGTGGTTTGGGTGAAGAGTTTCTTTCATACAATTCTTCGGGTAGGGGCGAAGCCCCACCCCCGCGTAAGAACGTCTGAGCCCCCCCCCCTCCCCAACTCAAAAGAAATTTCTTCATCGATACTCTATAATAAAATTACCGCCTAATAAATGTGTCTAATCTAAAAAGTGGTTTTCTTGCAATTTCTTTAATGCAATTCTTCGGGTAGTGGCTAAGCGCGACACCAGTGTTTCTTTTAGACTTTTTCCTCCCCGGATGGGGGAACTTTTTCTAATCTAAAACGTGTTTAGCGTGCAGTTTTTTTTTCAAGCATCTCTTCCGGTAGGGGCGAAGCCCCGCCCAGATTCTTCCTTTAGTTTGTATGTTCTACAAATGCGACCAGTGTTTCTTTCAGACTTTTTCCTCCTCGGAGAGGGGTGGGGGTACTTGAAATTTTCGGGGGCGGGGGTAGAATTTTCTGGGAGGGGGCGGACACTGGAAAAAGTATATAATTATATTTCGTTGAATGGGACGGTAGACATGTTTTGGAGTGTGTGTGGGGGGGGGGGAGGGGGGGTGAAGCCCCCTCCTCCCAAGTAGAGTTGCCTGAAAGAAACTCTTAATGCGACTTTTGGCATGAAAGAGATTAGGTACATGTTTTAGGGATATGCCTATGACTAAATTTTGAATAAATTAAAGTACCGAGAAAATAGACAGCACTATCAACCTAGCGCCCGTTGTATCCTTCCTCAACGGGCCATTTTTCTCGTTATTATAGATTAATAATGTTAGTTAGTAGCCTAATAGTATATAAGTATAGTAATACGAATTAACTAACAGTATAGAAATAAAGTAGGTCTATTAGTATAGTAGGTGGATCTAGACTATGTATAGTTTTACTAATCTAGCATTGCTACACTAGAGTGTATACTCTATTTAAGTTAATATCAATGAATTGGGTGCCTAGTAATAATAGATACATTAAATAATTTTGACCCATATTTTATATCATAAATGTGTAGCTCGTATAGATAGTTTTAGACTAGTCGTATAGTAAATAGTTAGTCTTAATATTTAGTTAGTAGGGGGGGGGGTATATACAGTGGCGTAGCTAGGATTTTCGAGCCCTTATGCAAAAATTATTATTGGCCCCTAAGTCAATCTGTAAATCGTGTATTTTATACGTCCTAATTGTGTATATATACGGCATTATTATGTAATACCCCGTAACGTAAACTACTATTGATTATATATCACTTTTATGTAAAAACAAACTAACAATTTAACTGTTATACAGTAGCGTCACATGGCAGTGTCCTCACAATTTAGGCGTGATACCATGACAAAACTCGTAAAATTCACTGTCAAAACTATTTTTATTCAGTTAAAAAAGTTAAATATTATGGAGAGGGGGTTACACTCCACCGGAAATGCAAAATTGTTAGACGGGGTGGGGGTGACACACACTAAACGCACCGGGTGATACAGAAACTGGATACGCCACTAACCAAATACAAATTTTTAAAAAGTTTCTCATGATTTTTTTTTGATTTTTTCTTTCTATTTAGAAGACACTAGACTACCCGTTATCTAGTTAGATAACTGTGGCTTCGGGGGGTCATCCATAAATGACATCACGTCTATCAGCACTTATCATCCCAAAATAACCAGACCTCACATTCAAAAAGACGTTTTTTATATTTTAAAAACTCTACTAAACTCTACTTCACCTGCCCAGTGCCCCGCCAACTCTCAGACATGTTTGTATTTTTAAAAAAAAAACGATTCCGGCCAAGCATGGCTCTGACTTCACTATCCCTTCATATGCTGAGAACAGGTGAACTCTACTTCACCTGCCCTGTACCCCGCGAGGTCCTGGATTGTCAACCTTATCATTCACATACAGGCCTTAAGAAAAAAAAATTGGAAACATTGTTGTAAAAAAGAAAATAAATCTTTATACTATTACTAAAGTCATTTTTCTAAACTTTTATAATTAATGTGGTTAATCTACCTATGAATATATCAATAAATTAATTAACGGCTTTAAATTAGTTTTTAATTAACAGTGAGTTTAAGAAAGAACAATATTTACTACCCAAAATTCTATTTTACAGCTCTACACATAATGCAGATTCTGCCCAATAACAAATAAAAAAACAAACAAACAAAAAATGAGTTATCAAACGTTATTATTCAGTCAAAGTTAAGCCATAGTTCTAAAACTTTAAAATTAATGTGGTTAATCTACCTATGAATAAATCAATAAATTAATTAACGTCTTTAAATAAATGTGTGATTAACATTCTGTCTGCAATCAAAAATTGTTCCCTACCTACATACTGTTTTACAGCCCCCCATATAGAGCAGTTTCCTTACAGTACAAAATCAGACAAACAAATAAATACTAAAACATGTAAACAAACTTGAGTTTTAGTAGTATATAGATAGATGATTAATATGTTACTTGAAGTACATTTTAGCTGGTACTGTGGGATACTTAGGATGGCCAAAGTACTGAGCAGTTTGCCTAGTCTTTATATATAAAACAAAGTGGTCAGGTGCCCGATAGGGCACTTCCCGGCGCCGCAGGCGCGTCAAATTTGGCACGATGGTGCCTTCGGGCGATAGAACACGAGGGCTGGTGACGGTTTGCCGAAAAGTCTACGGAGAGGGGGTCAAAACTGACCTCGACTGACCGGCGCCTTATATGGGCTATATTACGAAAAAAAATTTCCTCCGACGACCCCCCTTGAAATTTTGTCAGGTGGTAGGAGAACGCCTTGGGGTGTCACAAAAAACTCGCCATGTCCGGGAAAATTCGTTAAAAGGGTCAAAACTGACCAGTCGTATTTCCCTATATAATCTTTGTATTTTATGGGAAAAACAGAGGGTGATTTCAAAACGGATTTTAGGGCACTTACCGTCTTTACATCTGGCTGATTTTTTGCATGCAGTTAGGTAAATGGCTAGACTTTAAGAAAAAACTGTCGGTTTCACTCAAAGCCCTCGACGCCGGCTAAAAAGTGACCGCGAGTGAAATTCTCTTTATATGAGCTCTATTACGAAACAATTTTTACTCCGACGACCCCCATTGAAATTTTGTGAGATGGTAGAAGAACGCCTTGGGGTGTCACAAAAAAACTCGCCATGTCTGGGAAAATTCGTTAAATGGGTCAAAACTGACCAGTCGTATTTCCCTATATAATCTTTGTATTTTATAGGAAAAACAGAGGGTAATTTGAAAACGGATTTTAGGGCACTTACCTACTTTACATCTGGCTAAGTTTTCGTATACACCTCTATAGATGACTACGCCGTATGGAAAAACTGTTGGTCAGACTTAAAACTCTCTAAGAGGGCTAAAAATGACCGCGAGTGAAATTCTCATTATACGAGATTTGGTCATTTGATCTATGAACAGGGGATGTAACTTTTTAATGTAATAATTTTTATATATTTTGTATACTCTTTTTAAGAAAAAAACAAAAATCATAAAGTATAGCATTGTTTTAAATAAATATTTTGTTATAAATTAAGTTTTGCGTTGTACTGAAATTGTAAAAATTAATTGCGAAAGTAATTTATTATAATATTGATTGATACTATTAAGAAACCCCTTGCAGTTCTAATAACCTTGCGAGTAATAAGTTTGCGAATATTCCATCAATATTTGGGTGACATGAAATTACTCCACTGTATAAATTTAGACCCTAAGCATTTAACAGTTTCAAGAGCCTCAATGACAGTTTTGTGTCTGGAGGATACTCTGGCAGAAACCACGATAACCCAAAACGAGAGCTGCCAGAGGCACCAAAGAAGGGAAACACTGTCTACGTTAATGGGATTGGCATAACAGAGGAGATGATCAGAAAATCTTTTTCACACTATGGAAATATTGTCAACATCAACATGGAGCTAGAGAAACACAATGCTTTTGTGACTTTTGATAAAATGGAGGCAGCAGAACAAGCGATTGCCAATACTGCTGGCAGTATGATAAACAACATACAACTGAGAGTCCAAATGGCCAGAAGACAGCCTTCAATAGAGTCTCTGGTTGAAGGTTCCTCGCAGTCATCCTGGGGTAGCATTGATGCCAGTAGTTCACAAAAAGGTACCAACCACAAAGACACAAGGCAAATGATTAACTATGAGAATGATATGTTTTGAATAATTCCAATCGTGCCCTGCTCAGTATTCATCAGCCTACAGACCTTTGAATGATGACAACTTTTTACTGAAAAATTGAACCTGAAAGACAGTTTTCTCCCTTGATGAAAACAAATTGTAGTTATTATAAATAAACATTTTAAAATTAAAAAAAAAAAAAAGCATTTAAGAGTAGCAGCCAATCACCTATTAATTAATCATTCAATTCCTCAATTTTTTAGAAAACCTAAGCGAAGCTAGGCAGTATGCCTAGTCATTTATATGGGAGGCCTATTATCGTTGGATTATAAGATCAGTCTAGAGGCTTAGGTTGATTGCTTATGTAAAATATCCCCTGTAGAATAAGTTTTTGCTTTTCTCTGCCAACACTAGCAGGGAGTGAAATCGCAGGTCTCATGTATGTCAGCTGATCTAGAATATCTCCCAGAGGCATCGTGTACAGATGCACATATTTTTTATGTGAATTGTGTTAAAAACTAAATGCCATATATATATATAGGGGGGGGGGAAGAGGTAGCTGGATAAATGTACAGGAAAATCAACACATTCTCACACAACTTTAAAAAAGTTAGTGTGAATTAAGATGGTCGGCAAGTACAGAAGTACTAAATGAGCATATACGTCAATGAAACGGGTAAATTGAGTTAAAACTATTGAAAATAATAAGGATAAAAGTAAAACTGCATCCAAAAGATGAATAACCAAAATTAACCAAAGAATTACTATAATTATTTTTTTACTTTCTCGTATATACGAAGTATAGAGAAAGTCTTGTAATCGTGCACAAAAAATAAACCGGGAGTGAGTGATCTCCCCTAAACTTTCTCGAATATTCTTATACAAAACAACAGGGGATGGGAACTCGGGATATAGACATGATTTTAAATCCATTTTAAATACTTAAACTTTTTAAAATAGAATAAAATCTCGTAGAAAAAAGAAACGCACACCAAGTGAACGCCAAATAAAATATGCATAATAGTGCGCAATATTATTAGTACTTTATAAATTTACATTAGTTTTTTGAGAAATCGAAAATAGCGTAAATTACTACTTCCGTTCAACGGAAATTACTCAAAATTTGAAAGAAGGTAGAGAATTTGATCTTTTACTTATATATGAAATTTCATTTATCTGTGTGAAATAGTACTCAAGTTATGGGCTTTTGAAAAGATCAAAGTAGAAAATGTACCACTTTTGATAAAATACTTATATATGAAATTTCATCAACCTAGCTGTAACGGTACTCAAGGTATCGTGTTTACACACACACACAGACACACATACACAGACATACGGACAAGATTGCAAAACTATGTTTTTCCAACTCAGGGAGCCCTAAAGATTTTCAGAGATGCCTGTGGCCTGGCCGGGACGGCTAGTATTCCATTATATCAAATTTTTTTTCAAAAGTATTACAAACTGGTTGTGTTGCGTTTATTATTAACTTTTGTTTTGGTTGTGATTGCGTATATGTTGTTTGTTTTGTTTTCTGTGTTGTTTGGTGTGATAAGTTGTTTTGTGTCGCTCATGTATGTGTTCGTTCTATTTGTATTGTGCTCTACAAAGAATACTTTTTTTAATGTATTTTACAATGTAGCGAAGAAATGACATACAGGTAGTATTATATATATATATATATATATATATATATATATATATATATATATATATATATATTGTCATTTTCTCAAGTAGCCGCTACCCCTAACCCCAAAACCTGCATACGCCTCCGGGATGAACCCAGTGTTGGTATAAATCCAATGCTTTATTTACACGTTGTGATGAGATTTTTTTCTAACACGGGAACTGTAGTCTTAATTTCACTTTTTACATGCTAGATAGAGTTTCATGTAAGCATTTCGATGTTAAATTCAACATGAACTCCCCGCCCTCAGTCTACAAAAGTCGATTTTTTTGGACTACTGCCCCCCTCCGTGTGGACGTCATAAATAGATGACCCTAGAAAGCAAAACTTATCTGTTAAGTCCTCTTTTACAATACTTGTTGGTCTATATTTGATATACAACCTATTAAATGTGTATTTAAATTTTTATTTCAACTTTTAAGTTAATTAAAAAAAAAAGAAATTTGTAACGGTGATAATATAATTCTGACATTTGTATACTCTTTGAAGTTCGTAGGCCCCAGGCACAATGCCTACTGTGCTTATAGATAAAATGGCTCTGTCTGTGTATTCGACTATCCAAATAGGAACAACAACTCATAAAAGTCATTTGAAAATAATGTGTCTATCTTAGACAGTTTGAATTTCTATAGCGATTTTTAATGTTTATGCAAGAATACAGAATTGTTATTGTAGAATAAAAATAATTTAACAATAGATTATTTTTACAAAAAAAAAACTATCGAAGTAAAACTGCTAAAATTCTAAAATAATTTTTAATATATAGTCGGTTGTGGACCCTGAAACAAAAACCTACCACTTCCTGTTGTGGATTGCATTTCATTGTACAGCATGGGTATGAGTGTATGCGTGTTTATGAATGATGTGTAACGAAGTACGTAAGGGTGTGGCGGGCGAGAGCAGGATCAAGTTTAGGGTAGTCTTTGTCATGTCGTGTTAGGGTATAAAAATATTCGTCCGTCGTCATGAATATAGTCAATGCATTCGTTGTGAATGTGGCCGTCCGAATCTAATGCGTATTTAGCTGGACAATAAACTATTGAATAAATCAATGCGGCCCTGTTCAGTTATTCATATTGGGTTGTCATTGGATGTGGAGGATCCACGTTGTCCTACAAGGTCGAAAACCGCCCCAAATCCTCCCCTTGTCCTGGGTCTAGGTACTTTCTCTAAAATATAAAATTGAGGCTCAAAAGCAAATCAGTCTTAAATGAAGTGTAAATTACCCTAATGTCGGACTAACATCTACGGTTAGTTAATTAACTTGTAAATATATGTTCCTTGAAGAAACATAGATAATAACCCTGACATTTTTAATGTATAGCCTTTCGGATGTGTTGTATATTATGTGCTTCCGAAAAGATCTGTTTCAGTTAATAATTCAAAGCCCTGTTTTTCGGGCCTATAATACATTAATGAAGCAATTTTGAAGAGGAGATTAACGGCTAGAGAAAAATGCTGCATCACCATAATCCTAAAAAAATGTTTGATCTGAAAAGCTTTGCCAGAAATTGCAGAGCTCTGTAACTAACATAAAAGCAAAATTTTTAAAAAGTAAAAACAACAACAAATTGTTATGGGAAAAGTGTTTTAATCAAGTTTAATTTACAATACATTAAGTTTTTTTAGTTAGTAAAATGTACTGAAACCAATGTAAACAATGTATATTTTAATTACAAATTTCTTTTACATTTTTTAATTAAATAAGCCAAAATATATCTTTTAAAAACCAATATTTAAAATTTTAAAAAAATTGTTTTTTTTTTGTTTCATCTTAGGTTGTTTCCAATATAAAGTATTTAATCGCTTAAGTTGAAATTACTATGTTATTTAATAACTTTTTCCTTTTTTTAATAACTGAAGTAAAATAAAAATAAAAATTTTAAAAGTAAAAAGAAAAATACATTTAAAAAATTGTAGTATCTACATTATTATAATCAGTGTTGATAATCTACTTGGACAAATAAGTTTTAATCCTTTTTAGAGTCTTTGTATCAAACAAAAGACTTGAAGAAAAATTTCAAACAAATGTTTCACCATCTTTTTGTACTTTTGAACTAAAATATAAATTATGTTTAAAAAATCAAAAAGTGAAAATTGCAATATGTATAAAGCATTATATACTGTAAAATGTAAATATAAATAAAAGTATGTCATTTCACATTTTCAGCGTCAGCATTTAATATCTATTAAATTTTCGGTTTTATTTTCAGAAGTGTAGAGTATTTGTTTAATTATATTGAAATATGTACTCAGATGTATTTAAAAACATTTTAATATAGGAAATAAAAACACATTTAGTAACAGTCTTATACAATGTATGTTTTGCTTTAAACTATCAACAATATAATAACCTGATTGATTTTATAATGTAAAAATCACCTTAGCGTTAAAATTAAAGTATAAGCTATAAATAAAGTTAAATTTTATAAAAATAATAAAATGATGTTAATATTAGTAATGATCCAAGTAACAAAACTTTAAATTCTATTTCCTTTAGTTTTCATTTACTGACCTATATTTTCTAATAAAATATCTATAAAAAACTGTTAAACATACTTTTATATGAAGACATAATGTAAAAAGAAAAGAAACAAATTTCAAATATTAGCAAATTACCCTTTGTATTAAAAAATGTACAATATTTTATTATTCTTAAAAAAATGTTTCATAAAATTTTAATTTAAAAAGCCTGCTGTAGATTTATTTTTCTACAAATTTTTAGGAAAAAAAAACATTGCTCAAATTATTATATAAACATAAAAAGATCCATCCTGAAAAAAATAGCACATTGCTATGAGAGAAGTTTTATTTAATCAACTTTAATTTACAAAAAAAATTTTTAATCTGTAAAGTTTACTGAAACAATGGTAAACAACGTATAGTTTAGTTACAAAAGCAGTTTGTTAAAAAAGACAAAACATTTGTTTTTAAAACTAATTTGTAAAATTAAAAAAAAATACTATGTTATTTAATAACTTTTTCCTTTTTAATAATTGAAGTAAAATAAAAAGAAATTTTAAAAACAAAATGCATTTTTAAAATAGTACTATTTGTATTATTATAATCATTGTTTGTTAAACTGCCTAGATAAATAAGTTTTAATCCCATTTAGAGTCTGTGTATCAAACAAAAGAACCGAAAAAAAATTTAAACAAATATTTTACCATTTCTTCTACATTTAAATTACAACCTAAATTAAAAATTAAAAATTAAAATTGCAATATGTATAAAGCATTATATACAGTAAAATAAAAACTTAAATAAAATTATGTCATTTTAAATAATGTAAAAAGAAAAGAATGAAATTTCATAATATTTGCAGTTCAACCCTTGTATTTAAAAATGTACAATTTTCATGTTTCTTTAAAAAAAACATTTGGAACAAATAATTCTATAAAAAATAAAAAGATACATTCTGAAAAGAGAACTTTTTAGGCTTTTAAATTATTTTAAAATATCTACAAAAACGTTTTTGGGTAAACATTATGAAAACACCGCACAATGCTGTTCTTGTTTTAAAGTCAAAAAGAAAATTGAAAAAAAGAAAAGTGTTAACTAATTTAACGTCTTGTAAGGCATCCAAGAAATCACACTTGATTATTTAGCACTTGTTTTGTTTTCATTTTTTAATATGCAGCACTCATGGTTTAGGCAAAATAGTCCAGTTCCAATCCTAAATTACGCCTGTGGACCCTAGCTTTACGACGTCTTCCAACCAAAATCGCCAAAAGTACCACCAGGATGACGTACACAACGAAGCTAATCACTGTCTGAGCAATGAAGAGTTCTGGAAAGAAATAATGAAAAGACAAAAAGTTATTTAGATGTTTCTTTTTGAGTGAGAATTATCAAAAGGTTTTTACCCATCGTACCCTCGATTAAGTTACAATTGTGGGGTGAAAATATATCAAGTACATTTTTACATTAAAATATAAAAACCTATATTAAGAGTAATGGCGCTTTGTAAAATGCTTATGGGTTAAGTTTTTTTAATCTGCATTCAAAGACCAGAATTATCAACTATTAAAAATGTGTAATTTTATAACCTGAAATCCAGTTTGAGTTAGTGGGTCCATTAAGGGGTGAATTAGACATCGTCCCGTCAGGCTTAGTAGCTCCATAAATCGGAGTGATAGTAGACTTGTTGGAACGTTCCGTGGTACTGTTATTACCGAAATCATATGAATATGTGTCATTCTTTTTCATAGACATCAAATCATGATAAGTGTTATTCTTTGCTTCATACTTAAAAACATGAGTCGTGTCATCATCTTCTGCGTGGTATTTCTTATTTTCTTTTTTTAAGCTTGGTTGATTTAGGGGACTGTTGATAAAATCGATTTGTTTTCTCAAAGCTTTTGTGTCACTTGAGGTATTTTTCAACGTACTTCCTGGTCGATTATTTACAAAAGTAAAACTCTTTGGATGGAAAGCAGTATTCTGGGTTGAATCTGAAGTGGTGGCCGCAATGGGGTTTACAAGTGACGACACAGTGGGAAAGGCAAAATTACTCAGAGTTGATTCAACAGTGGGTGCTACAGTTGACGTCCAAGGTGGAGTGGTATGAGCAGCCAAATTTAATTCTACCATGGAGACCGTTTTGGGTTTTACAAGTGTCGACTCAGGTGGGGTAACAGTAGTACCTACAGTTGAATCTACCATGGTGGTCGTAGTGGGATACACATCTGACGACCAAGATTGAGTACCATTAGTACCATCAGTTGATACTACCATAGTGGTCGTAGTGGGATACACAGCTGACGACCCAGGTTGAGTGCCATTAGAACCATCAGTTGATTCCACCATGGTGGGCACAGTAGGATACACAGCTGACGACCCAGATTGAGTGTAATTAGAACCATCAGTTGATTCTACAACATTGGATGCATTGTTGGGCACAGTGGGATACACAGCTGACGACCCAGGTTGAGTGCCATTAGCACAATCAGTTGATTCTCCAACAGTGGATGCATTGTTGGTCGTAGTGGGATACACAGCTGACAACCAAGGTGGAGTGGTCTTAGTACCATCAGTTGATTTCACCACGGTGGGCACAGTGGGATACACAGCTGACGACCCAGGTTGAGTGCCATTAGCACCATCAGTTGATTCTCCAACATTGGATGCATTGTTGGGCACAGTGGGATACACTGCTGACGACCCAGGTTGAGTGCCATTAGCACCATCAGTTGGTTCTACCATGGTGGGCACAGTGGGATACACAGCTGACGACCCAGGTTGAGTGTAATTAGAACCATCAGTTGATTCTACAACAGTGGATGCATTGTTGGGCACAGTGGAATACACAGCTGACGACCCAGGTGGAGTGGTCTTAGTACCATGAGTTGATTCCACCATGGTGGGTACAGTGGGATACACAGCTGACGACCCAGGTTGAGTGATATTAGCACCATCAGTTGATTCTACAACATTGGATGCATTGTTGGGCACAGTGGGATACACAGCTGACGACCCAGGTGGAGTGGTCTTAGTACCATGAGTTGATTCCACCATGGTGGGTACAGTGGGATACACAGCTGACGACCCAGGTTGAGTGATATTAGCACCATCAGTTGATTCTACAACATTGGATGCATTGTTAGGCACAGTGGGATACACTGCTGACGACCCAGGTTGAGTGCCATTAGCACCATCACTTGATTCTCCAACAGTGGATGCATTGTTAGGTACAGTGGGATACACAGCTGACGACCCAGGTTGAGTGACATTAGCACCATCAGTTGATTCTCCAACAGTGGATGCATTGTTGGGCACAGTGGGATACACAGCTGACGACCCAAGTTGAGTGCCATTAGCACAATCAGTTGATTCTCCAACAGTGGATGCATTGTTGGTCGTAGTGGGATACACAGCTGACAACCAAGGTGGAGTGGTCTTAGTACCATCAGTTGATTTCACCACGGTGGGCACAGTGGGATACACAGCTGACGACCCAGGTTGAGTGCCATTAGCACCGACAGTTGATTTTACAACATTGGATGCATGGTTGGGCACAGTGGGATACACTGCTGACGACCCAGGTTGAGTGCCATTAGCACCATCAGTTGATTCGCCAACAATGGATGCGTTGTTGGGCGCAGTGGGATACACAGCTGACGACCCAGGTGGAGTGGTCTTAGTACCATCAGTTGATTCCACCATGGTGGGCACAGTAGGATACACAGCTGACAACCCAGGTTGAGTGCCATTAGCACCATCAGTTGATTCTCCAACAGTGGATGCATTGTTGGGCGCAGAGGGATACACAGACTGCGACCCAGGTTGAGTGCCATTAGCACCATCAGTTGGTTCTACCATGGTGGGCACAGTAGGATACACAGCTGACAACCCAGGTTGAGTGCCATTAGCACCATCAGTTGATTCTCCAACATTGGATGCATTGTTGGGCACAGTGGGATACACTGCTGACGACCCAGGTTGAGTGCCATTAGCACCATCAGTTGGTTCTACCATGGTGGGCACAGTGGGATACACAGCTGACGACCCAGGTTGAGTGTAATTAGAACCATCAGTTGATTCTACAACAGTGGATGCATTGTTGGGCACAGTGGAATACACAGCTGACGACCCAGGTGGAGTGGTCTTAGTACCATGAGTTGATTCCACCATGGTGGGTACAGTGGGATACACAGCTGACGACCCAGGTTGAGTGATATTAGCACCATCAGTTGATTCTACAACATTGGATGCATTGTTGGGCACAGTGGGATACACAGCTGACGACCCAGGTGGAGTGGTCTTAGTACCATGAGTTGATTCCACCATGGTGGGTACAGTGGGATACACAGCTGACGACCCAGGTTGAGTGATATTAGCACCATCAGTTGATTCTACAACATTGGATGCATTGTTAGGCACAGTGGGATACACTGCTGACGACCCAGGTTGAGTGCCATTAGCACCATCACTTGATTCTCCAACAGTGGATGCATTGTTAGGTACAGTGGGATACACAGCTGACGACCCAGGTTGAGTGACATTAGCACCATCAGTTGATTCTCCAACAGTGGATGCATTGTTGGGCACAGTGGGATACACAGCTGACGACCCAAGTTGAGTGCCATTAGCACAATCAGTTGATTCTCCAACAGTGGATGCATTGTTGGTCGTAGTGGGATACACAGCTGACAACCAAGGTGGAGTGGTCTTAGTACCATCAGTTGATTTCACCAAGGTGGGCACAGTGGGATACACAGCTGACGACCCAGGTTGAGTGCCATTAGCACCGACAGTTGATTTTACAACATTGGATGCATGGTTGGGCACAGTGGGATACACTGCTGACGACCCAGGTTGAGTGCCATTAGCACCATCAGTTGATTCGCCAACAATGGATGCGTTGTTGGGCGCAGTGGGATACACAGCTGACGACCCAGGTGGAGTGGTCTTAGTACCATCAGTTGATTCCACCATGGTGGGCACAGTAGGATACACAGCTGACAACCCAGGTTGAGTGCCATTAGCACCATCAGTTGATTCTCCAACAGTGGATGCATTGTTGGGCGCAGAGGGATACACAGACTGCGACCCAGGTTGAGTGCCATTAGCACCATCAGTTGGTTCTACCATGGTGGGCACAGTAGGATACACAGCTGACAACCCAGGTTGAGTGCCATTAGCACCATCAGTTGATTCTCCAACAGTGGATGCATTGTTAGGCGCAGAGGGATACACAGACTGCGACCCAGGTTGAGTGCCATTAGCACCATCAGTTGGTTCTACCATGGTGGGCACAGTAGGATACACAGTTGACAACCCAGGTTGAGTGTAATTAGAACCATCAGTTGATTCTACAACATTTGATACATTGTTGGGCGCAGTGGGATACACAGCTGAGGACCCAGGTTGAGTGCCATTAGCACCATCTGTTGATTCTCCAACAGTGGATGCATTGTTGGGCGCAGTGGGATACACAGCTGACGACACAGGTTGAGTGCCATTATTACCATCAGTTGATTCTACAACATTGGATGCATTGTTGGGCACAGTGGGATACACTGCTGACGACCCAGGTTGAGTGCCATTAGCACCATCAGTTGATTCTACAACATTGGATGCATTGTTGGGCACAGTGGGATACACAGCTGACGACCAAGGTTGAGTGCCATTAGCACCATCAGTTGATTCTCCAACATTGGATGCATTGTTGGGCACAGTGGGGTACACTGCTGATGACCCAGGTTGAGTGCCATTAGCACCATCAGTTGGTTCTACCATGGTGGGCACAGTGGGATACACAGCTGACGACCCAGGTTGAGTGATATTAGCACCATCAGTTGATTCTACAACATTGGATGCATTGTTGGGCACAGGTTGGGTGCCATTAGTACCATCAGTTGATTCTACACCAGTGGATGCATTGTTGGGCACAGGTTGAGTGCCATTAGTACCATCAGTTGATTCTACAACAGTGGATGCATTGTTGGGCACAGGTTGAGTGCCATTAGTACCATCAGTTGATTCTACAACAGTGGATGCATTGTTGGGCACAGGTTGAGTGCCATTAGTACCATCAGTTGATTCTACAACAGTGGATGCATTGTTGGGCACAGGTTGAGTGCCATTAGTACCATCAGTTGATTCTACAACAGTGGATGCATTGTTGGGCACAGGTTGAGTGCCATTAGTACCATCAGTTGATTCTACAACAGTGGATGCATTGTTGGGCACAGGTTGAGTGCCATTAGTACCATCAGTTGATTCTACAACAGTGGATGCATTGTTGGGCACAGGTTGAGTGCCATTAGTACCATCAGTTGATTCTACAACAGTGGATGCATTGTTGGGCACAGGTTGAGTGCCATTAGTACCATCAGTTGATTCTACAACAGTGGATGCATTGTTGAGCACAGGTTGAGTGCCATTAGTACCATCAGTTGATTCTACAACAGTGGATGCATTGTTGGGCACAGGTTGAGTGCCATTAGTACCATCAGTTGATTCTACAACAGTGGATGCATTGTTGGGCACAGGTTGAGTGCCATTAGTACCATCAGTTGATTCTACAACAGTGGATGCATTGTTGGGCACAGGTTGAGTGCCATTAGTACCATCAGTTGATTCTACAACAGTGGATACATTGTTGGGCACAGGTTGAGTGCCATTAGTACCATCAGTTGATTCTACAACAGTGGATGCATTGTTGGGCACAGGTTGAGTGCCATTAGTACCATCAGTTGATTCTACAACAGTGGATGCATTGTTGGGCACAGGTTGAGTGCCATTAGTACCATCAGTTGATTCTACAACAGTGGATGCATTGTTGAGCACAGGTTGAGTGCCATTAGTACCATCAGTTGATTCTACAACAGTGGATGCATTGTTGGGCACAGGTTGAGTGCCATTAGTACCATCAGTTGATTCTACAACAATGGATGCATTGTTGGGCACAGGTTGAGTGCCATTAGTACCATCAGTTGATTCTACAACAGTGGATGCATTGTTGGGCACAGGTTGAGTGCCATTAGTACCATCAGTTGATTCTACAACAGTGGATGCATTGTTGGGCACAGGTTGAGTGCCATTAGTACCATCAGTTGATTCTACAACAGTGGATGCATTGTTGGGCACAGGTTGAGTGCCATTAGTACCATCAGTTGATTCTACAACAGTGGATGCATTGTTGGGCACAGGTTGAGTGCCATTAGTACCATCAGTTGATTCTACAACAGTGGATGCATTGTTGGGCACAGGTTGAGTGCCATTAGTACCATCAGTTGATTCTACAACAGTGGATGCATTGTTGGGCACAGGTTGAGTGCCATTAGTACCATCAGTTGATTCTACAACAGTGGATGCATTGTTGGGCACAGGTTGAGTGCCATTAGTACCATCAGTTGATTCTACAACAGTGGATGCATTGTTGGGCACAGGTTGAGTGCCATTAGTACCATCAGTTGATTCTACAACAGTGGATGCATTGTTGGGCACAGGTTGAGTGCCATTAGTACCATCAGTTGATTCTACAACAGTGGATGCATTGTTGGGCACAGGTTGAGTGCCATTAGTACCATCAGTTGATTCTACAACAGTGGATGCATTGTTGGGCACAGGTTGAGTGCCATTAGTACCATCAGTTGATTCTACAACAGTGGATGCATTGTTGGGCACAGGTTGAGTGCCATTAGTACCATCAGTTGATTCTACAACAGTGGATGCATTGTTGGGCACAGGTTGAGTGCCATTAGTACCATCAGTTGATTCTACCAAGTTGGGCGCAGTGGGATTTTCAAGAGACGACCCAGGTGCAGCTGAAATGGTATTCGTAGGTACAGCTGAAGATTCAGGAGTTGACATCATATCACCCTCGACAACTGTTCCTGTAATGTAAGAATACTGCCATCATTATTTTATTATATTTATACTACAAATGGTAGCTGCACTGAGTTATTCATTCTACTAGCGTGTGTGTTTTACGTTATTTTGGAATAATTTTCTGAAAAGATTACACTGGTTTTAATTGCATCTACCTGAAAAGTACTCGGAAAGCGTTTTCCTTATATTTTGTATATAACTATAAAGAAAAGCGTGGGTCACTATATTATCTATTGGATACTTTAATAATATTTAGGAAGCGACCCATTAGTGTGTAATTTATTTTCTACTTTTTAATGCATTATTACATAAAGGCTTGTTATTAAAACGTTGTTTATGATTTTTTACAAGCTGTTATTTAACTTGCTTCCTCGTCCTGTCTGTCTGTCTGTCTGTCTGTCTGTCTGTCTGTCTGTCTGTCTGTCTGTCTGTCTGTCTGTCTGTCGGTCTGTCTGTCTGTCTGTCTGTCTGTCTGTCTGTCTGTCTGTCTGTCTGTCTGTCTGTCTGTCTGTATGTATGTATGTATGTATGTCTGTCTGTCTGTCTGTCTGTCTGTCTGTCTGTCTGTCTGTCTGCCTGCCTGTCTGTCTGTCTGTCTGTCTGTCTGTCTGTCTGTCTGTCTGTCTAGATCAAAACGCGCGAGTGAAATTACGTTCATTTCTAACTGACAGATACGGTTCAAATTTGGCACGTGGGTCAAGACATAAAGACAATGCAATAATACGCGCCTTATTATGTTTTTTAGGTGCGCAATGGTTTTTAGTCATGCAACTCTACTTAAATAAACAAAATTTAAATTACTGAAAAAAAATGTATAAAAACATTTTAATAACAAGCATTTATGTAATAATGCACTAAAAAGTAGAAAAACATTATTTTTTTAGATATTTAATAATACACTACTATTTAAATAATTATAAATAAACGCGTGGGTATTTTATTAAATTTTATTAGAGGTATCCAATAGATTATAAACTGACCCACGTTTTTCTTCATTATTAATGAAATAGTAGTGTATTATTTAAAGAAAATCATTTGTTTTCTACTTTTTAGTGCATTATTACCAAAAACTTGTTATGAAAACTTTTATATGAAATTTTAAAAAAATATCTGTTAGCATTTCATGTTTGCCAAAAATTGTGAAAAAGAAAAACGTGATACAAGTTAAAAGTATGTGAACACGTAAACTTGATTTGTGTAATGGTTTCTCCCGTTCTGTTTATTTTTATGATTTGTTTTATTAATTTTAAACACATTCTTTTTCATAGCTAAGCTACGTTGATAGTGTTGTCTTTTTCTCTAAACCAAAACCAAAATCACAATCTTAACTTAAAATTTAGCCGGAAGCTATAAACGTCATTGAAAATGAATTTTTTTCCGAATCGGCATTTTGATCTGATTAAAGCTTTATCTACCTGTAGTTACTGCACATTGATACTAAATATAGTCGTAGCCATACCCCTAAACCTTTTACATAAGATCAAACCTGACAAAAGTCGCACTTAGAGTTTCTTTCAGGCGACTCTTAGGGGCGGGTCCCCCTCCCCCTACCACCCTCCCCGAAGCACGTCCCCTTCAACAAAATACAATTTATATAGAAAACATAATCTTATACAAGGGTCCGACCCCTCCCAGAAAATGTAGTCCACCCCCTACCCCGAATATTTCAAGCACCTTTCTCGGGGAGGAAAAAGAAACACTGGTCTTCATTTGTAGATCATACAGACTAAAGGTAGAGCCTACTTCTATAATATAGACCCGTTTCCTACTTTTGGTCGATAAATCTCACTCACGCGAACAGTGTTTCTTTCAGACGTTTATCCGGGGGGGGGGTGGCACTTGAATTTTTACAGGGACCAGTACAATTCTCCTGGGCGTGGGAGGCCCTGTTGTTTCATATAAGAATATTCGAGGAAGTTTAGGGGAGATCACTCCCGGTTTATTTAAAATGTATTTAACGCAAGTTTCATAATTTTTTATTAGGACCGCTCTACGGAGTCTACACACTACACAGTCCACGCCATACTACGGCTTTAAGACTTAATATAAAAATACTAGAAGATATATTCTAATTTATATAAACTTAATACTTAATCAATACTAACTACCTCGTTAGATCTTATGGAGATGCAAGTAGCTAGCTAAGTAACTGTAGGCCTATAAATATACTATAAATAAGTATTAGATATAGAACTAGTACTATTTGGTCTATTATTAATTAATTATTATATAATTTATTTTTATATTATAAAAGTAAAGAAGGCCTACTAATAATAGTATTTTTTTTACTATAGAAATAAAGTAGTATTGTAGACTAAAAGTAATAGTAGTCTAATCAATTATTAGTCTAATTAGTTAGAGCCTACGTATTTAAACATTATTTATTAAAGTAGTAGTATTAGTAAGTATAGCTACTCTATCGTACAGTTATTATATATAATACATAGATTCTAATGGAGGCAACAGATTTAAGTACTCAAAGGTATTCGAGAGGCCCGTTAAATATTTTAAAAATCACACACGGCGTAGTTAAAATTAATATGGTTATAAATTCCTGTCTGACACGGTTTCTTTTTCGGACTTTACTAAAGATTGGATGTATTTGATGTTTTTAATATTTTCGATAACTAAATTAAAAAAACTTTTAAAAAGCAAAAACAATTTGTTTTTCACGTGTAATGGCGACATAAACAATGGCATCCTGCTATTCTATAGGCTACCATAAATTTTATTATACACATTGTAAGGGGAAAAAAGGAAAACTTGGTCATGGGGTTTAAATTTGCATTGTTATTTAAAATCTTTATTTATTTATTTTTTGTAAAAATTTAACCCGAGTGAACTCCCCTAAACTTTTTCGAAAATTCTTATATCAGAGGCGTAGCGACCCTTCCCGGCGCCCGGGGCCAACTTTTCAATTTGCACCCCCCCCCCCCTCAAGATTTCTATTTGCACCCCCCCCCCCCCTCAAACTTTTGATTTGCACCCCTCCCCCCCTCTCGAGATTTCGATTTGCAACCCCCTCAAACTTTCAATTTGCACCCCCTCAACCTTTCAATTTATTTTTCCAACCCATTTTGGCGCCCCCTAAGGTCAGCGCCCGGGGACATATGCCCCCCCCCCCCCGCTACGCTACTGTCTTATATAACTCTACGGGGATGGCAACTCGGGATATAGACAATATTTTTCATCAATTTTGAATTACTTAAACTTTTTATAATAGAATAGAATCTCGTAGAAAAAGAATTGCACACCAAGTGAACGCAAAATAAAATGTGCAAAATAGTGCGGGATATTATTAGTCTAATATATAAAACTCAATTCTGTATGTAACATGTGATAAGTTTGTCGTTGACATACTTGGATGGATTTAAGTGTTAGATTATTATCGTGCTCATAGTCTAAATTTATGAGTTAAAAAGTTACTATTGAAAGTGTTGGGAAATAATTTTCATTTTTCAAACTGATAGTAATAATTGTCGGCATGTTCATTAAACACAATTTTTAAAAATTATCATCTTACAAAAATTCTAATTATGTCTGAAAATTATTTATATTTAGTCCTTTAGAACTTACTTCCCTTTGATAAATTAGGAAAACAAAATTACTTTCCTTTACAAAACATTGCATTAGTGGAAAAGAATTTACTTTTTATTACTTTGTTTTGGTGTTGGGAAAAAAATAATTACATAATTAGCGGGGATTGATCAAGTGCAAATGTTGTAGGTATTTTACGGTTAAGCTTGGAGTATTATAATTGTTCATTAAATTGAAATAGGCGCGTCCGCCGGCGCCCCACCAGGGTTCAATTTGGCGCTCTGGGCTATCCTGTGAGCGCTATGGTGCATAATTTCGCTTTAAACAGTGCGATAGAGTATGGATAAGAAAGGTTACTATAGACAGGGTGCTATTTGGGGCCCCGGGCCTCACGTGTTCGGTTTGGCGCCTACGTTCGTTTAAGTGAGTGCAAAAGACTATGAATAAGTTGGGGTACTATAGTCGTTTATTAAGCTGAAACAGTCGATTCCGCCCCGGGCTAGACTGAGAGCACCACGGGCGTAGCGAGGGGGGGGGGGTGCGGACCGCACCGGGTGACACCATTTAGGGGGGTTGACACCAAGGCAAAAAATAGCAAAATATATATAGAAAAACTTGAGGGGGTGCAAATCGAAAGTTTGAAGGGGGGGGCAAAACGAAAACTTGAGGGGGGGGGGGGGGTGGGGGGTGCAAATCGAAAACTTGAAAGTTTGTCCCCGGGAAGGGTTGCTACGCCTCTGGGGGGGGGGGGTGACACCATTAAGTGCCGCACCGAGTGACACCCGACCTCGCTACGCCACTGGTGAGCACTTTGCGTTTATGTTTGCGTTTGTGTTTTCTTTGTGTTTAGGTTGGGCTTGCGTTAGTGGTTGCGTTTTGAATTGGTTCGTTTTTGTTCTTTCTTTTTCGTTTTCATTTGTGTTTTTTTCTTTGGATTTGTGTTTGTATTTGTGTTTGTGATTAGTTTTGCGTTTGGATTTGGTTTGTTTTCGTTTGCTTTTTTGTTTGTGTTCTTTTCTTTGGGTTTGTGTTTGTGGTTGGTTTTGCGTTTGGATTTGGTTTGTTTTCGTTTGCTTTTTCGTTTGTTTTTTCTTTGTGTTCGTATTGGTGTTTGTGGTTGGGTTTGTTGTTAGGTTTTTGTTTTCCTTTGCTTTTTTGTTTGTTTTTTCTTTGTGTTTGTATTGGTGTTTATGGTTGTGGTTGGGTTTGTTGTTAGGTTTTTGTTTTCGTTTGTATTTGTAATTGTGTTAGCGTTATGTTTGCGTTGTGTTGTTTTGGTTTTGGTTGGTTATGATTTGGGTGGGCAATGAAGGGTTTATGATGATTACTAAACACACAGGTATTGGTCTTTAACAGAAAGGTTTTTCACAGAAGCTAGAGCAGGGCCTGGCCGGGACGGCTAGTGCTTTATAAATTCACATGCGTTTTTTTTTTTTTTTTTTTTTTTGAGAAATCGGAAATAGCGTAT